CCATTGCCGAGCGCCCACCATGCCCCAGCACCCAGCATTGCCCAGCACCCAGCATTGCCCAGCACCCAGCATTGCCCAGCACCCAGCACTGCCCAGCACCCAGCACTGCCCAGCACCCAGCACTGCCCAGCACCCAGCACTGCCCAGCACCCAGCACTGCCCAGCACCCAGCATTGCCCAGCACCCAGCACTGCCCAGCACCCAGCATTGCCCAGCACCCAGCACTGCCCAGCACCCAGCACTGCCCAGCACCCAGCATTGCCCAGCACCCCACACCAGTGCTGTGTCCCTCTCACCCCAGTGCTGCGTTATTTCCTGGAGTACCAGTGGTTCGTGGATTTTGCCCTCTACTCCACCGCCGTGTACGTCTTCACCGAGGGCTACTACTGCCTGCTGGACCCCCAGAAGGAGATGAACATTGGGGTGCTCTGGTGCCTGCTGACTGTCTTCTTCTCCATGTATCCTCCTGCCAACTTTCAGGGTGTCATTTCCTCCCCTGGGCCTGGGAGAGGGAACCCACCATCCTTGGTTTTTACCCTGTTAAAAAAACCCAGAAGGAGATGAACATTGGGGTGCTCTGGTGCCTGCTGACTGTCTTCTTCTCCATGTATCCTCCTGCCAACTTTCAGGGTGTCATTTCCTCCCCTGGGCCTGGGAGAGGGAACCCACCATCCTTGTTTTTTACCCTGTTAAAAAAAAACATTGGAGGAATAAAACTGAAGTGTATGGATTTCTAAAGCTGCCGAGCTGTGAAGGTGCCCAGTGAGAGCCCTCCCCAGGAGGTGGAGAGGTGGCCTGATGATGTGGATGCTTTACAGTGTGCTAATGAGCAGGAGGGGTCCCAATGGTGCTGGGGGGACGATCCTGAAGCCCCCCCAGTTTCCTTGACAGCTGCTCCTCACCACCAGCAAGGTCTTCTTCACGGTGATGCGCCATTACTTCTCCTCAGAGGAGGGGGGGGAACGCTCTGTCTGCCTCACCTTCGCCTTCTTCTTCCTCCTCCTGGCCATGGTGGCCCTGGTCATCCGTGAGGACTACCTGGAGTTCGGCCTCGAGCCCGGTGGGTGACGGGGGGATGGGGAGAGGTGGTCCCTGGGGGCACCCCACTGATGGGGGGGTCACTCCCTGCAGGGCTGGCCAGTGTCAGCAACAACCTGGAGAGCATCCTGAAGCAGCGGGGCTGGGAGTGGATGTGAGTTGACAAGGGGGCTGGGAGGAAAGTGGGGGGTTTTGGGAGGTGTTTTCGAATTTTGGGGTGGGGACCCCTCCAGGGGCTCAGTGGGGATGGGGCCAACCCGTCCCCCCCCCCATGCTGTCTGCTCTCTCCACAGGTTGCCCCTTGCCAAGCTGGCCTTCAAGCTGGGGCTGGTGGCCCTGTGCTCCTTCCTGGGTGCCTGCCTGACCTTCCCGGGGCTGCGCCTGGCCCAGACCCACCTGGACGCCCTCCAGATGGCAGCTGACAAGCCCCTCGTCCCG